GTTATGATTTTTGCCTGGATTCTCCTCAATGCCAACAAAACAGAAACTTTGGAAGCTAGTCCGCTCTATGTTGGCAATACTTTGATTCTTGGCTTAGAATCTACCAAGTCTCCATGCCAATAACGCAAAAACTATGACAGCCAGTTATTTTTATGGTGACAATGCTTTGATTAGAAACTATTATAGACGCGTATGATTATTTAAAAAAATGAAACAATTTGATTCTTGTCCTGGCCCCTTAAAAAATAGTGTTCTATGCCAACACCGCAAAATCTATAGCAGCATGTCCGTTTCATGTGGAAGATGCTTTGTTTCTTTTTCCTGAATTCTACCCAGACTCCATTCCAGCACGGCAGAAACCATGGCAGCCAGTGCACTTCATATCGACAATGCTTTGATTCTTGGTATCATCAAGCTTGCTTACATGAAAAAACCGCAGGAATTATGGCATCCAGTTCGATTCTTGTTACCAAGGCTTTGTTTCTCGCCCTTGATTCTACCTAACCTCAATTCGAACACAGCAGAAACAATGGTGGCTAGTCCGCTTCATCTTACCAATGCTTTGATTCTTTACCTGGAACCTACAAGCCTCCATAAAACTGAAGAAACCATAGTACAATAATAAGTCCACATCATGATGACGATGTTGGATTCTTTTCCTGGTATATATCCCCGCCTCCATGCCAACACTACAGTAAATATGGCAGCAAAACGGATTAATGTTGACAATGCTTTGATTTGTGGCTTAGGCTCTATCTAGCTTTCATCCCAACACAGCAGAAGCTATGGCAGTCAGTACGCTTCATATTGACAATGCCTGATTCCTGGCCTGTAAATCAAGCTAAACTCCATGTCAAGACCTGAGAAAATGTAGCAGCAAATCCACAACATTTTGGCAATGCTTTGAATCTTAGCCTGTAATCAAGCTAGCCTCCATGACAACACCGCAGAAATTATGGCAGCCATTGTGATTCATGTCAACACCGTAGAAGCCCTGTCAGCCAGTACGCTTTATGTTGACGATGCCTGATTCCTGGTCTGTAAATCAAGCTAAACTCCATGTAAACACCTAAGAAAATGTGGCGACAAATCCACTATATTTTGGCAATGCTTTGAATCTTAGCCTGTAATCAAGCTAGCCTGCATGACCGCAGAAATTATGGCATCAGTGTGATTCATGTAAACACCGTAGTAGCCCTGTCAGCCAGTACGCTTCATGTTGACGATGCCTGATTCCTGGTCTGTAAATCAAGCTAAACTCCATGTCAAGACCTGAGAAAATGTGGCAGCAAATCCTCAACATTTTGGCAATGCTCTTAATCTTGGCCTTTAATCAAGCTAGCCTGCATGAAAACACCGCAGAAATTATGGCAGCCATTGTGATTCATGTCAACACCGTAGAAGCCCTGTCAGCCCTGTCCGCTTCATGTTGTCGATGCTTTGATTCTTGATCTGGTTTCTACCTTGCCTGCATTTTTTCATCACCTCAGAAACTATAGGAGAGAATACGCTTCATTATATTCCATCGTGTTTGAAAGTCTTGTATCTACCTAGACTGAATGTTGACACCGCAGAAACTATGACAGCCAGTCCGCACCATGTTGACAACGATTTTTAGCTTGGGGTTCTACTTCTCCACCATGCCAACAATACAGAAACTATAGAAGCTAGTCCAGTTCATGTTGACAATGTTTGATTCTTGTTCTCGTCTCTATCTAGACTCCATTCTAGCACGGCAGAAACCATGGCAGCCAGTCCGCACCATGTTGACAACGATATGATTTTCAGCCTGGATTCTATTTATCCACCACGTCAACAATACATAAACTATAGAAGCTAGTCCAGTTCATGTTGACAATGCTTTGGTTATTGTTCTCGTCTCTGTCTAGACTCCATTCCAGCACGGAAGAAACCATGGCTACCAGTCCGCTTCATATTGATAATGATTTGATTCTTGGCCTGGAATAAAGCTAACTTTTTGCCAAAACCTAAGAAAATATGGCAGTAATTCCGCAAAATTTAGGAATTTTTAAAAATTATTGGCCTGGAATCTTCCTATCCTCCATGACATCACCGCTGAAGCTATGGCAGCCAGTCCGCATCATATTGACGAAGCTTTGATTCTTGGCGCGGACTCTACCTAGCCCCCACGCCAATACCGCAGAAACTATGGCAGACAGGGCGCTTCATGTTGACGAAGCTTTGATTCTGGACTTACACTCTACCTAGCCTCCATGCCATCAGTACAAAAACTATGGCAGCCAGTCCGCTCCATGTTGACGAAGCTTTGATTCTTGGCCTGATCTCAACTTAACCTCCACGCCAACACCGCAGAAACTATGGCTGCAAGTCCGCTCCATGTTGACAAAGCTTTGATTCTTGGCCTGATCTCAACCTAGCCTCCATTCCAACACCGCAGAAACTATGGCAGCCAGTTCGCTCCATGTTGACGAAGCTTTGATTCTTGGCCTAATCTCAACTTAACCTCCACGCCAACACCGCAGAAACTATGGCTGCAAGTCCGCTCCATGTTGACAAAGCTTTGATTCTTGGCCTGATCTCAACCTAGCCTCCATTCCAACACCGCAGAAACTATGGCAGCCAGTCCGCTCCATGTTGACGAAGCTTTGATTCTTGGCCTAATCTCAACTTAACCTCCACGCCAACACCGCAGAAACTATGGCTGCAAGTCCGCTCCATGTTAACAAAGCTTTGATTCTTGGCCTGATCTCAACCTAGCCTCCATTCCAACACCGCAGAAACTATGGCTGCAAGTCCGCTCCATGTTGACGAAGCTTTGATTCTTAGCCTGATATCAACCTAATCTCCACACCAACACCGCAGAAACTATGGCTGCAAGTCCGCTCCATGTTGACAAAGCTTTGATTCTTGGCCTGATCTCAACCTAGCCTCCATTCCAACACCGCAGAAACTATGGCTGCAAGTCCGCTCCATGTTGACGAAGCTTTGATTCTTAGCCTGATATCAACCTAATCTCCACACCAACACCGCAGAAACTATGGCTGGAAGTCCGCATCATTATGACAATGTTTGAATTTTGGCTTGGACCCTTCCTATACTCCATGCCACATCCACAGAAACTAGGGCGACCAGTCAGCTTCATGTTAACAACGAATCTTGTCCTGGACTATATATCTAGCCTCTGTGCCAAGACCACAGTAAGTATGGCAGCCTGACGGGTTTATGTTGAAAATGTTTTAATTTATGGATTAAACTCTACCTAGACTCCATTCCAGCATCGCAGAAACTATGGCAGCGAGTCTGCATAATATCCTCAATCCTTTGATTCTTGGCTTGACTCTATCAAAACTGCATTTCAAACCGCAGAAACTGTGGAAGCCAGTACGCTTCATGTTAATAATGCTTTATCATTTTCTTAAACTCTACCTAGACTCCTTTCCAGCATCGCAGAAACTATGGCATCCAGTCCGATTTATTTTGAAATTCATTGATTTTGCCTGGCCTTCACGTAGCACCCATGCCAACACCGCAGAAAAATGACAGAATGCCCGTTTTATGTTGGAAATGCTTTGTTTATAGGCATGGATCTAAACTTCATGCCAACAATACAGAAACTCTGGCATCTAGTCCATTTCACGTTGACAATGCTTTGATTCTAGGCTTGAACTCTACTCCATGCCAACACTGCAGAGACTATAACATCAGTCCGTACTATGTTTACGATGCTTTGAATTTTGGCTTTGGACTATAGCTAGCTTCCATGCCAACACCACAGAAACTATGGCAGCCAGTATGCTTTATTATAAAATATCAAAAACCTTTCGCAATAATTTGAGTCAAAAGACAATCCATTAATTAAGATTATATAAAAGGGCGTACCTGTATCTGTAAAGAAAAAAAAACTTTTTTTTCTCAAAATATTTCGACCTTGTATATATATATTTATCAATTATTTTATCTATTTATATCTATTTATTCATATATATATCATTATTAATCTTATTTATTCATATTTATATTGTATTTAACCTCATATAATCTTATATGGACGTTATAATAAATCGGTTTCAATCTCAATCTCAAAATATTTCGAGAGATTGCTCCCTCTCCCTCCATAAATTTGTTTCCATGTCATCTACAAGAATTTGTAAATTAAGTTCACTGTGCAATAAATTGATAAAGACGGAGCAATCTCTCGAAATATTTTGAGAAAAAAATTCTAAATAAATAAACTTATTGCGAAAGGTTTTTGATATTTTATAATAGTAAATCGCAATTTATCTTTTATCTGAAGTCTGCTCTATATTGACAATGCTTTGATTCTTGGCCTTGGACTCTTACCTAGCCTCAATGCCAATACCACATAAACTATGGAAGTCAGTCCAATATATTTTTGGCAAAGCTTTGTTTTATATACCTCTACTAAGTGTACTTGCCACAACCGCGAAACTATGACAACCGTTCTACTTCATTTTGACGATGCTTTAAATCTTGGCCAGGTCTCTATCTAGCCTTCATGCCAACACCGCCGCAGCCAGTCCACCTTTTACACACTGCCAATGCTTCCATTCTTTGCTTGAAATTGACTCAGTTTGTCTATCTCAAAATTGCTTATATTTTTGTTCACTGAGCAGCCTAAACAAACTTCTTCTTCTTCTTCTTTTTTATCTCCACTCAATCATATTAAGGTATCAAGCTTGTAAAGCTTAAGACTTTTGATGGTGTCTGTCGGTGAAGAGTAGAACTCATCAATGGATGAGTTAATACAGTCAATAATGTGTCCATCCCTGGACACTTTTATTTTTCCGTTTATCATTACTCTTTACAATTCATCCTTTCATACCTCATCCATAAGGTTAGAAATAATCGTTATTTCTCCTTGAAAATAAATTTTGATTTTTCGTTGAAAAGAAACACATGCGGGATGGTTTTCAAATGTCGTTTTACAATCACAAGCCGCATTATATTATATTGTATTATAAATTACTTTATTTATTATTTACGAACGGAAAAATATGTCCAGGGTAGCCTAGTGGACATGGCATCTGCCCGGTAAGCGGAACACTGTGGGTTCGTTTCCCATCCATGGACACTTTTATTTTTCCGTTTACCATTACTCTTCACAATTAATCGTTTCATACCTCATCCATAAGGTTAGAAATAATCGTTATTTCTCCTTGAAAATAAATTTTGATTTTTCGTTGAAAAGAAACACATGCGGGATGGTTTTCAAATGTCGTTTTACAATCACAAGCCGCATTATATTATACAGTCAATAATGTGTTTTGGGGTTGCAGGTTGGCACTTAGTACATAGTGGGAAAACCTTGCAACCATTCTGGAAACTAAACAAACGTCTGTATACCTTGTGAATGTTTGGATTATGTGCTAGTGGGTCTATATAGACAGCTATATCTGTACCACTTAGACTGTATGTATGAAATGCAATATATATATATTATATATATATATATATATTATATATATTATATATTGACTTTCACAAATTCTGGAGAACAGAACAGTGAAATACGTAACAAAGAAGAGAGAACCAACTTAAAGAAATATTGATGTTATTCCACACTTTCTGTAGATAACTGCTATGTTTACTTCTGTTTACCTATCTGGGAGAATCCTGTATGGGACGTGTGTCCTTAATAAAGGCTTGTTGTTGTTGTAGATAACTGTTATGTTTACTTCTGTTTACCTATCTGGGAGAATTCTGTATGGGACGTGTGTCCTTAATAAAGGCTTGTTGTTGTTGTTGTTGTAGATAACTGCTATGTTTACTTCTGTTTACCTATCTGGGAGAATCCTGTATGGGACGTGTGTCCTTAATAAAGGCTTGTTGTTGTTGCTGTAGATAACTGCTATGTTTACTTCTGTTTACCTATCTGGGAGAATCCTGTATGGGACGTGTGTCCTTAATAAAGGCTTGTTGTTGTTGTTGTAGATAACTGTTATGTTTACTTCTGTTTACCTATCTGGGAGAATCCTGTATGGGACGTGTGTTCTTAATAAAGGCTTGTTGTTGTTGCTGTAGATAACTGCTATGTTTACTTCTGTTTACCTATCTGGGAGAATCCTGTATGGGACGTGTGTCCTTAATAAAGGCTTGTTGTTGTTGTTGTAGATAACTGTTATGTTTACTTCTGTTTACCTATCTGGGAGAATTCTGTATGGGACGTGTGTCCTTAATAAAGGCTTGTTGTTGTTGTTGTAGATAACTGTTATGTTTACTTCTGTTTACCTATCTGGGAGAATTCTGTATGGGACGTGTGTCCTTAATAAAGGCTTGTTGTTGTAGATAACTGTTATGTTTACTTCTGTTTACCTATCTGGGAGAATTCTGTATGGGACGTGTGTCCTTAATAAAGGCTTGTTGTTGTTGTTGTTGTAGATAACTGTTATGTTTACTTCTGTTTACCTATCTGGGAGAATTCTGTATGGGACGTGTGTCCTTAATAAAGGCTTGTTGTTGTTGTTGTAGATAACTGTTATGTTTACTTCTGTTTACCTATCTGGGAGAATTCTGTATGGGACGTGTGTCCTTAATAAAGGCTTGTTGTTGTTGTTGTAGATAACTGTTATGTTTACTTCTGTTTACCTATCTGGGAGAATTCTGTATGGGACGTGTGTCCTTAATAAAGGCTTGTTGTTGTTGTTGTAGATAACTGTTATGTTTACTTCTGTTTACCTATCTGGGAGAATTCTGTATGGGACGTGTGTCCTTAATAAAGGCTTGTTGTTGTTGTTGTAGATAACTGTTATGTTTACTTCTGTTTACCTATCTGGGAGAATTCTGTATGGGACGTGTGTCCTTAATAAAGGCTTGTTGTTGTTGTTGTAGATAACTGTTATGTTTACTTCTGTTTACCTATCTGGGAGAATCCTGTATGGGACGTGTGTCCTTAATAAAGGCTTGTTGTTGTTGTTGTAGATAACTGTTATGTTTACTTCTGTTTACCTATCTGGGAGAATTCTGTATGGGACGTGTGTCCTTAATAAAGGCTTGTTGTTGTTGTTGTTGTAGATAACTGTTATGTTTACTTCTGTTTACCTATCTGGGAGAATTCTGTATGGGACGTGTGTCCTTAATAAAGGCTTGTTGTTGTTGTTGTAGATAACTGTTATGTTTACTTCTGTTTACCTATCTGGGAGAATTCTGTATGGGACGTGTGTCCTTAATAAAGGCTTGTTGTTGTTGTTGTAGATAACTGTTATGTTTACTTCTGTTTACCTATCTGGGAGAATTCTGTATGGGACGTGTGTCCTTAATAAAGGCTTGTTGTTGTTGTTGTAGATAACTGTTATGTTTACTTCTGTTTACCTATCTGGGAGAATTCTGTATGGGACGTGTGTCCTTAATAAAGGCTTGTTGTTGTTGTTGTAGATAACTGTTATGTTTACTTCTGTTTACCTATCTGGGAGAATTCTGTATGGGACGTGTGTCCTTAATAAAGGCTTGTTGTTGTTGTTGTAGATAACTGTTATGTTTACTTCTGTTTACCTATCTGGGAGAATCCTGTATGGGACGTGTGTCCTTAATAAAGGCTTGTTGTTGTTGTTGTAGATAACTGTTATGTTTACTTCTGTTTACCTATCTGGGAGAATTCTGTATGGGACGTGTGTCCTTAATAAAGGCTTGTTGTTGTTGTTGTAGATAACTGTTATGTTTACTTCTGTTTACCTATCTGGGAGAATTCTGTATGGGACGTGTGTCCTTAATAAAGGCTTGTTGTTGTTGTTGTTGTAGATAACTGCTATGTTTACTTCTGTTTACCTATCTGGGAGAATTCTGTATGGGACGTGTGTCCTTAATAAAGGCTTTTTGTTGTTGTTGTAGATAACTGTTATGTTTACTTCTGTTTACCTATCTGGGAGAATTCTGTATGGGACGTGTGTCCTTAATAAAGGCTTGTTGTTGTTGTTTCTGTAGATAACTGTTATGTTTACTTCTGTTTACCTATCTGGGAGAATTCTGTATGGGACGTGTGTCCTTAATAAAGGCTTGTTGTTGTTGTTTCTGTAGATAACTGTTATGTTTACTTCTGTTTACCTATCTGGGAGAATTCTGTATGGGACGTGTGTCCTTAATAAAGGCTTGTTGTTGTTGTTTCTGTAGATAACTGTTATGTTTACTTCTGTTTACCTATCTGGGAGAATTCTGTATGGGACGTGTGTCCTTAATAAAGGCTTGTTGTTGTTGTTTCTGTAGATAACTGTTATGTTTACTGCTGTTTACCTATCTGGGAGAATCCTGTATGGGACGTGTGTCCTTAATAAAGGCTTGTTGTTGTTGTTTCTGTAGATAACTGTTATGTTTACTGCTGTTTACCTATCTGGGAGAATTCTGTATGGGACGTGTGTCCTTAATAAAGGCTTGTTGTTGTTGTTTCTGTAGATAACTGTTATGTTTACTGCTGTTTACCTATCTGGGAGAATCCTGTATGGGACGTGTGTCCTTAATAAAGGCTTGTTGTTGTTGTTTCTGTAGATAACTGTTATGTTTACTTCTGTTTACCTATCTGGGAGAATTCTGTATGGGACGTGTGTCCTTAATAAAGGCTTGTTGTTGTTGTTGTTGTTGTTGTTGTAGATAACTGCTATGTTTACTTCTGTTAACCTATCTGGGAGAATTCTGTATGGGACGTGTGTCCTTAATAAAGGCTTGTTGTTGTTGTTGTTGTTGTTGTTGTAGATAACTGCTATGTTTACTTCTGTTAACCTATCTGGGAGAATTCTGTATGGGACGTGTGTCCTTAATAAAGGCTTGTTGTTGTTGTTGTTGTAGTTGTTGTAGATAACTGCTATGTTTACTTCTGTTTACCTATCTGGGAGAATTCTGTATGGGACGTGTGTCCTTAATAAAGGCTTGTTGTTGTTGTTGTTGTTGTTGTTGTAGATAACTGCTATGTTTACTTCTGTTAACCTATCTGGGAGAATTCTGTATGGGACGTGTGTCCTTAATAAAGGCTTGTTGTTGTTGTTGTTGTTGTAGATAACTGCTATGTTTACTTCTGTTAACCTATCTGGGAGAATTCTGTATGGGACGTGTGTCCTTAATAAAGGCTTGTTGTTGTTGTTGTTGTTGTTGTTGTAGATAACTGCTATGTTTACTTCTGTTTACCTATCTGGGAGAATTCTGTATGGGACGTGTGTCCTTAATAAAGGCTTGTTGTTGTTGTTGTTGTTGTTGTTGTAGATAACTGCTATGTTTACTTCTGTTTACCTATCTGGGAGAATTCTGTATGGGACGTGTGTCCTTAATAAAGGCTTGTTGTTGTTGTTGTTGTTGTTGTTGTAGATAACTGCTATGTTTACTTCTGTTTACCTATCTGGGAGAATTCTGTATGGGACGTGTGTCCTTAATAAAGGCTTGTTGTTGTTGTTGTTGTTGTTGTAGATAACTGCTATGTTTACTTCTGTTAACCTATCTGGGAGAATCCTGTATGGGACGTGTGTCCTTAATAAAGGCTTTTTGTTGTTGTTGTTGTAGATAACTGCTATGTTTACTTTTGTTTACCTATCTGGGAGAATCCTGTATGGGACGTGTGTCCTTAATAAAGGCTTGTTGTTGTTGTTGTTGTTGTTGTTGTAGATAACTGCTATGTTTACTTCTGTTAACCTATCTGGGAGAATCCTGTATGGGACGTGTGTCCTTAATAAAGGCTTTTTGTTGTTGTTGTTGTTGTTGTTGAGATAACTGCTATGTTTACTTTTGTTTACCTATCTGGGAGAATCCTGTATGGGACGTGTGTCCTTAATAAAGGCTTTTTGTTGTTGTTGTTGTTGTTGTTGTAGATAACTGCTATGTTTACTTCTGTTAACCTATCTGGGAGAATCCTGTATGGGACGTGTGTCCTTAATAAAGGCTTTTTGTTGTTGTTGTTGTTGTTGTTGAGATAACTGCTATGTTTACTTCTGTTTACCTATCTGGGAGAATCCTGTATGGGACGAATGTCCTTAATAAAGGCTTTTTGTTGTTGTTGTTGTTGTTGTTGAGATAACTGCTATGTTTACTTCTGTTTACCTATCTGGGAGAATCCTGTATGGGACGAATGTCCTTAATAAAGGCTTTTTGTTGTTGTT